GGTTCGACAATCATCTCAACCATCTACCATCGACCACGCTCATGCTTCTTCTTTTTTCAGCCCTCAGCTTTCTTCATGTTGTTATGCTTCGTCTGCACACCTACTTCATTAGGCGACTTCCTCAAGTCGATCATCGAACACTTACGAAATGCAATTCCCAAGACCGACTTTCTGTCAACCTCGGCATTAATTGATAATTCAATGTTTTTCTTCAATAAGCAGACATGAGGTGGTTAATATAGAATTTATTAGAATAGAATAGCTGACATTTCGGCGGTTTCGCCTTCTTCAGAGCATGGAAAGGTCAAATTGAGATGTGATCTACTCAGCCAAACACTTTCATAACCCTAGCAGATAAAACTTGACAAATCGATTTGCATTCGCATAAGAAACAGCTTCATTCCGAGGCGAAACCGCCGAAACGTCAGCAGTTGTGTTCTAATAAATTCTATATTAATAACCTAGTGTCTGCTTATTGAAGAAAAACATTGATCTTAACTCTTTTATTTACCGCCTTTTTCTTCTAAATGGCAGGGTATGTTGTGAAATATAACTCGTATGAAGTGCTGAGATATTTGCAAAACTCCGGACCACAGGTGTATGCAGTGGGAAACGAACACGCGCTGTTGTCCTTACCGGGGAGCAGCGCACTTCACCACTACACCATCCGGGTGACCAAAAACATTGACTTACGAAATGCATTATCTTCATCTTTTCATCATTTTTTTTCCAGTTCACCTCCGATGAATTGTTTTAATAGATACAACTACGACGGTGCTGAGATATTTGCAAAAACCAGACCCAGGCCCAGATTCGAACCCATAATTATCCTTTCGGTGGACTCGCGTGTTACCCACTGCACCACTGAGCCCCTTGTTTTGCCCTTCTCCCAGGCTGTTTTTTACCTTGACGGTATATCTCACAAAATACCCAGGCGCGAAAGAAATAGCAAGCAGTAAATACAAAGTTAAGCATTGCTTTAGTAGACTGCTCATGACTTGTTTTAGCCTCTGTTGCTTTTTTATCTTCTTTTTCTTCCTTCTTCGGCCCGTAAGCTCAAAAAGGTTTATTCGATTAACGTTTCGACGTCTTTGTCTTCTTCTTCAGAGCCGGTGAACCGAGTTGATGGTCCACAGTCGTTCGTCTTCTCGATGCCATGTCTTCGTCGTCGTATCGAGTAGGATCTTCACAAAGATGGTTATTGTTGATATGACTAACTGTTGATAATAATTTGTTTTTCAACGGACGATCCATCCTGCAGCATTCGGTATTACGTTAGCTAGCACATAGCGGATCAACATTTTTCATAGCGGTCGTCATTTAACCTCTGAGTCAATACTCATTACTCAATAATAAATACTTCCTTGCATAAGATAAGTGTGGTGTTAGCAGAAAAGTAAAAAATGAATAGAAATCGATTTATTGACCAAAAGTCTTCGTCAAGATTCAGTTGACATCGTACTTAGGTGCTAACGAGGTGCTCGGATGAATAATGCATCTTATAAAGCCGACACTAGCTATCGCAGTTCCTTTTTTATTTCACGGGTTCTCTTTCTGCAAGGCGAAACGAGGTTGTTCATGGGTATTTTGATGTTCAGTGGCAGATGTTTCAGGAGATTCGTATTGTTCACAACCTAGACTTGTTATATAAGCATATCCATGGTATTCGCTGAGTAATTCAACAGTTTTTAAACAGCATACATTCACTTCCATAAAAAAAACACAATACAATACAACGCTAGCTGACGTTTCGGCAGTATCGCCTTCTTCAGAGCCTGGAAGGGTATACTGATATACAATCTACTAGGCCAAACGCTTCAATAACACTTACACAAAGACGAAAAACTCCTTGGTAATTACATGATCAACAGCTTCTCGAAACACTCAGTGCTTTTTTACGTGACTTCCAATGAGGAAGTTTAGAACAGTTGATTAGAGTCGCATGTGGTTGACGACTGCACCATCCCACATCAGAAATCGATGCGAACGTACGGGATCAGGTCGCGTATGACCTCCGGGCATTCGTCCCTGCTATTCATTGTAGGGTTTTCGGCATTTATCCAAAAAGCCTCAAGGAATTTTCGCGCTGGTGTTTTGGACTCCTGTGCAAGGATATTGGCTTTTACTTCAAAATCGTCTCCGCTATGCTTTTGTGTCCTATGCGTGCCTAGTGGGGTGCTTCGTCTTAGTTTTCGTTTGCCATCCAGGTGTTCTTTTATACGGATACACAAAGGTCTGCTCGTTTTGCCAATATATTCATCTCCGCAACTGTTACAAGAGATCAGGTATATCGTACCTGAACTCGTGCAATCACCGTCCCTGCCGTAAGGGCAAATTACGCAATTTGTTGTTTCACACAGACGGTCATACAGGCGGTTACGAACTAATTGACGACGTAGAGTAGCCGATGGTATTTCAACTATCGCTACCGATTCCTCTAGACCTGCCCTTTTTAAGCATCGTTGTATAGCTACGCTTACTTCATCGCTTATAAAAGGCAACATAAACGGGACTTTCTTTTGGCCAAGTGTTTCGCGTGGGCGCGCCGCTCTCCTTCTAAACTTATCTCGTGAGGTTACTATTTCGTAGCCATTGGAGATGGCTATTTGCCGAGCCAAGTCGCGCGATTCTTCCTTTAGTTCCCTGGTAGTGCACACAGTGGTGGCTGTTCGAAACATGTTTCTCACAATCGCCCTCTTTGTGTGTGAAGGGTGGGAAGAAAGGAAATGAACAAGAATGCTCTTGTTATTTGGCTTTCGATACCACTTTGTCAGGTAACCGCTACTTGATAGGTTTATTTGAACGTCCAAAAACGGTGCCGAGGTTAATAGAAGGTCGATCCCGGGAACTAATCCAACAGTATGTATTCTTCCTTGATAAGCTTGCACGAGGCTATAGCCGAAAATAAATATATTTATCAACCTCGTGCAAGCTTATCAAGAAAGAATATATATTGATTAGTCACACCGAGGTTTAGGGAAGGTCGGTTTCGAAATAATTCAACAGTTTTAACAAATATAAAGTAACATTTCGAAACTGGATTTTCGTCAACATCAGCGTTACTAATCAACATGTACTTTTTTTTATTGGCAAGCTGAGACGAGAATGATAAAAAGAAAAAAGGCGAGTTTGTAAACCGGACCAAATATTTTTGACTGAGAAGTGCTCACCGCCTTCATGCCTAATATTCGGATTCAGAGGGTTTTTTTGTTAATTAACTTCTGATACCGTATATATCATGGATAATCTTCGTCTAACTCATCCATTTCATAGTTTTTTTTTCCGTTCTCCGAAATTACGAATTCGTCGAATATCTCGCCCACAGTTGACTTTAGATAGTTTTTGCCGTACCACATCGCAACCTAATTGTGATCCATCCATTCATTACGTCCGTTTTCCGCCCACGAACGCTCATACTAACAAGTCTTTTTATGTTGGCTACTATCATGGTCTCATTTGTTTTGGAAGACAGATCTCTTATTGTTGTCATTGAAAATGAACTATGACATCCAGCGGATTCGTCGGGTTGCATCAGTAAGCGACTAAAAACTCTCGTCTTTTTCACTATTGCTATTATATCATCAGTAGACGATACACCCTTATAAGTGAATTCACCGTCATCAATCAAAAGTATCGTCAATCATCATTAACAGAACATTGAAACACGTAATACGAGTAAGCTTGATTGAGTGAGCATCGATTTAAACCTGATGAGGACATAGGAACTTTAGACGAGCGCTCTACCTCTACGAAGAGTGACAATATTCAGCATTTTTTCACCTTTTAAACAAAACTTCTTAACCACATCTTAGACAACCACAATGGCGCAGAGGTATTTGCAAAACTTCGGCCCGTATGAATCTGCGGTGAGGAACGAACGCCTTGTATCCCGAGGCTAACGCGTTCACCATCACACCATGCGGGTCCTTCATTTCTCCTGTCTCTCACTTAGTGCTATCGATCAGTGCCATCAGCAATCACCCGTCAACGGGATTGATCTGGGCAGCCCAAATCGGAATTGAACCCAGTTAAGCTGAGACTATAGTTGAAATCACAAAATTAACTTTTTTCCTTACTTATTTTTATTCATTTTGCTTCTTGGGCAGTTTCGCTAGACTATTTCTGGTTCTCTATAAACATTCTACAAAAATAGCTTTTACGATCTTTTATACTGATTGACAAATTGTAGAGTTATTTGGCTAACTTTCACATAAATTGCAAACCTATTCGGTCTTAGATGAAGTAACTGAGCCCAGTTACATCAAAAAACGTGCTGTGAACTATCACTGATGAGGACTTCATGATAATTCATTCGCTTTTTCTTTTCACTTCCGCAACTAGTTTTTTGTATTTTATCTCCTCACGCCTAAGGACTGACTGATTCTACTTAGGACCCTTTCTTTTGGCTATTAGTGGTGAGCTTGAAGTTGTTCAAGTTCGTCTACTTGCTGTTCACCGGCTTCAAGAAATCGTCGTTCTCAATGTGAATTCATTTTGGCATCAAAACTTTTCTTCATAAATATACCACATACATAATGTCCGCATAAGTTTTATATAATTTTGTATCCCTCATAAAACACGTAGAAGTTTAAGAAAACAAGTGAAACTGTTTTTTGAAGTGATGGATGAACCCGTTCTAAAGTTTGGAGAGCAAAGTCGTTCCAACGTTTATCAGCCAGTTGAAAAGTAGTTGCCATAAATTCAAAAGGTCTGGAAAGATTTTAGGACTTGTATCCATACAACATGAGAATTCGATATGTACGGATTTCTCGTCTTATACACAGGAAAGTATTCTGCACATGGCCTAAACGAACTAAGTATTACAAAATTGAATGTTGCGCGACCAACATAAAGGATCGGATGACACTTCCGATTAATTGACTCCTACTTTTTCGAGCACCACTTCTGAGAGACTCAGGACTTCTTGCTGAGGCTTTTAATGTCTTCAACGACAAAGAATAGAAAGAACTTAAGCTTGTTATCTGCTGAAGGGCGTCTGTTCAACGAGCAATTCCTGCACCAAAAAGGTCATGAAGGTTGGCAAGAAATTTCACACATTTCACGCTGCTGAGTATGCAAGGTTGGGTCAGGTCATCTTCGAAGAATTCTGGTGGCAAGGTATTGAACTTCATTCGAATTCGAAACGATGGACTAGCACCTGTAACGACATCGTGATGAAGTCTTAGCACAGCGCGGGCTTCTCTCCATTTCATGAAAAGTAAACATGAAAATACCATAAAACAGCGCTTTGGGAAACTCTGATAATTTATTCTTTGTCTAATAGCTTACCATACATACATACATGCATACATGCAAGCATACGTACGCACATACATGCATATATACATACATACATACATACATCGTACATACGTACGTACGAGAAGTAACTTGAAATAATTTGAAATAACTTGAAACAACTTGAAGCAAGATTTTAAAGAGCAAAGCAAAAGTGTTAAGATTCTCAAATCCAAATCGTGAAAATCTTTCCATAATCAAACACCAGAATCTTCTTCTTTTCGCAGCTACCTCATTTGCGAGAGGTCTCGAGATGGGTAATTGTGTTTTTACGTGTACTCTAGGACCGAAAAAGACCTTACACTTACAGTGAACTATGGGCATTGAGCGGATGAGCCATTACTTTTTCGACTTACACATTACTGTTTGACTTATTTACTTTCTAAATGCAACCGGTTCAGTTTATTACATTTTCCACAAGTGATTTACTCGCTGTGATGGAAACTGCTGTCGTTCTGGAGAAATCTGAGTCACAAGACAGCTAATTCCTCCTCATTCTCCTCAAACCACGAGCTGTTTGTGGTAACGGGCTACGAACGTCCCATTTCGGATGTCGGAGAATATGACTGTCTAGCAGTATTCACAATGTTAATATTTATAGCCAATGGCGCATACGACTTCGATCACCCCTATCTATGCATGGAGCTAACGAAGGAGACTAATAGAGTAAGTCCTAGTGCTTGCACGACTTCTGAAGTCAGATCATCTAAACATCTAAGAGTATGAATGTAATCGTACTCATGCATACGAAAGCGGAGCGATAATGAATTCGTGCGTGAGGATATCATTTTTTATGCATAGATACGTGGACTAACTGTCATACAGATAAGCCGACCTACCCGTGGTCACACTGGTAGAGTCCAGTAAAGAGGAAAATCACAGCTGCTTTTTTTTGTAAAAGAACAATGGAAATGAACGGTCTTGTATGAAAAGTTCAATATGCAGGAGAGAGGTTTATCTTGCCGATGAGGTCCACCGAGATCAGGATTTTAACATTTCTATCCGGAAATCCGGTTAAGCGTGAGCTAATATGCCATGACAGAGGTCTCCAAGCTCTCTGTGACTGCCTTATTCACTGAAATGTTAGGAAGTGTGCCATACTGGCAGTGTGCTATTCTACTTTTTTGTTTACATTGTTTTTTGTACTAACTGATAGGAATCTTGTTTTCATGCTCTAATGACTTATATTAATTAACACTCTGCGCTGTGACGCCATTACGCCTCTGCTCTGTGACCTTCTAACACTGTGCTCGGATGTCCGATTTATTTTATTTAATTTTACTATTTCGTATATGTTTTCGCAATGGTTTCTTTTCGAAGTCTGTAATATTATAGAACACTGCGTACCTAATTTTATGGTCTTTCGCCCTGTTGTGTTTAATTATGGTGTAAAACGTATTTCTGAATGGTTTGGAATGCTAAAAAATATTAGATGTCAAGACAGCGATTTCCAAAAATCTGCCTCTACGAATACAAACCCGATCGTAACGCAGCCAAACTGCTCAAAATATTCATGGATTACAAAGCCTGTGAAGTGTCAACGAGCACATAGTGAAATGTTTGTTTGAAAAGTTTCGTGGAGAGGAATTCCACTTTGAAGCTGAAATCGAGCAGTTTGGCTGAAGATTGAGATTGAAGACTTTGGTGAAAGTGCGTACACATACAACTGTTTTTCCAATACGCAACATTTTTTAAAGGAACTTGCCATATGTATCTCAACTAATTCGGAGCATCAGACGATGACTAGAACGTCGAAAAAGCTCGGCAAACGGATACCGCACGAAATGAACAAGAATCAACGAAATCACCGTTTTGAGGCATCTTCTGTACAACCAGAACGAACCATTTATAGACCGTACTGCGATCTATGACGCTAAGTAGATCCTCTACGACAATCGACGGTGATCGTCTCAACATTTGGACTGCGACGAAGTACTTCTCAAAGTGGAAATTGTAGTCATAGAAGATAATCCAGGCCGTTTGACAGTTCGCTGATAATTTAATCCATAAATGGCTCCTCAGCGGAGGTGAAAAAACTGCGTAGGAAGTGTACATCCAGCAAAACGACATAACACAGCAAAAGCATTGACAACTGACTTTCTGTTAACCTCGGAATGGACCAGTAACTCGTTATCTTGATGAATAGACATAAAGTTCTTTCTGTACTAGGTGTTCACTCCAGATGATGTTTTGTCTTGTTTCACTTCCTTTAGAGCACGAAAATGCTGAAGTGATGTGCAATCTGCTCAATCGAATGTTCTATAAAATTGACAGAAAAAACTAAAACCTAAATATCAGTTACATACGAAGCAGCTTCTTCGAACTCTTACCGTTCTCTACGGCTTTTGCACTGGATATTCCACCTGACCATCAGCCGCGCAGAGGTCACATGGATGGGTAATGTGCCTCTCTCATGCTAGAAGATTAGTTCTTGCGGTTTATTTTCTGACTCGTCAAATTTCCAAATTCATCTACTTTATCAAAATCTGTACAGTTGCTCCAGGAACTTCAACCGGAGTGCTCCGATTGGTCAACAGGGAGGAATCAATCCTTTCCATTATAACGCGCTTTCACACTTCGTACTACTGACGCCACAGCAGTTGAACTAGCCGACTTACAAAAGTCTGTCTCTTCCAACGTATTTGCCAAGCTTCTCGGCTACTAACTATCACCTCTCGTGCAGTAGTAGAGACTACAGCTTACTTATAACAAGCACACATTTTACTTCCTGTCTATCTTTATCCCATTGTTTTCAAGTACTAAAAATGCTGTCTGTGATGAGGCGTGTTTTTTGGTACATTTTCGTCTCGACAAAAAATGCCTTAAAAACCAAACCGAAGCCGAAACCCACTTTAACGGCTTCATTGTCTTCAGAAGTCCACAACGCAACTACTAAAAGTAAATTTATTTCTTGTTGGAAAAAAAGTGTGGATTTTAGTGCTTTTTTATTTCGATTAATAAAGGCATTGTCAGCGGGGATGTGCGACTTTCAAAATGCTGGTTGAAATGGGACATAAATTTTCCGCGAAGCCATTAATAGGATTTCCAGCACTCTGCTCTCATTGCTAAAAACTCGTCGTATTCGTTTACTATTGATGCAGCTAGTAGCTTTCGTACTCCATCTGTCCAAGCATACCCGAAGAACAAGAAGGTAGGTGAAAGAAGCCCTAGTAAACTCTCGTAAAACTCTAGTAAAAAAAAAACTTTATCACTCATTCTAATCACAGTGACCGTAACTTTAAGGAATAACTGTCAATACACAGCGCCTAAAGCTCACTTTTGGACAGCTGACAATAATTTCTTGATTATTGAGTATTCAAGAACTTAAGAACTACATAGATTTATGGAGAATATTTCGCATACCCTTTTTCACAAAATATTTCCTCAAACTTGAAAATGTTTAAAAAGATAGTTGAAAAGTTCTAGACGAAACCCAAAATTTTAAAATTTCAAGAATGGCAGCTAGAAACAAAGGTGATACGTGTGTTCCTTCTTTGATGAGCTTGCACGTGCTCCATATATGATATTTATTCGACTAACGTTTTGACGTCTTCTTCTTCATGAAGCCATCTATCCGAGTCGATAGTTCTACGTTCTTCTTCGTCTCGATGTGGTGTCTTCGCCTTCGTATCTAGTTGTGCCTTGCTCAGCAGACCATTTTTCGAATGAGGCGCACTCACTCAGTGATGCGCTTTTGTGCAGGATGCCGATGGCTGATGGTTGTGATTGTCCGGTGATAGTAACTTATTTTTTTCGTACAATCAATCCTGCACCGGTATCAGAGGTAATTATAAAGGATAAAAGGATAAAGCTTTCAGCGGTGCCCTTAATACCACATCGAGTCAAACACGACTTGAGTGAGGTTTCCTCACTTGGTAGGCCCTCTTTTATACAGGACGGCTATTGTTGATAATAGTGATTGTACAATGATAATAACTTGTTTTTGTCCGACAATCCATTCTAAAGCGGTCGGTATCATTATTAATTAGCACAGAGCGCAGTAATATTTCAAAAATCAACATTCTCCTAATCTCGTTGTGATTAATCAAAATATGTTCTTGCCTTTATAAGGTAACATGGGGTTAATAAAAGCCTTATTAGGCTTTTATGCAGCATATGTTTTTGATCAAGTAAATCTTCGTATTTTTGTTGAGCAAACGCGAGGTGTTATTATTCTTTATTCACGAATAAGCTGACGTTTCGGGAGATTTCGCCTTCCTCAGAGCCTGGAAAGGTCAAGTTAATAGCAATCTACTCGGCCAGACGCCTCCATAGCCAAACAAAGAAACCCCAAACCAAGATTTCAATCACTTTGAACACAGCTTTGCACACTCACCGCTTCCTATGAGGTTTCCACTAAATATGTCGCGTAAAGACCAACCGCACAGAAATCACATGGAAGCACAATGTGCCCCTACTATCAGAATAGCAGTCTTATATACTGCCCTATATCACGCGTGATAATGAAGCATTCTTCCCTGCGGTTCATTTTCGGATTTCTGGAATTAATCCAGAATGCCTCGAGAGTTTTTCGCGCCTGTGTTCTTGATTCGCGTGCTAGGATCGTGACACACACTTCAAAGTCCTCCCCGTTATGTCTCTGGGTCCTATGCGTGCCTAGCGAAGTATTTGGTCTATGTTTGCCAGCTAGGTGTTCTTTTATGTGGACACAGAGGGGTCTACCCGTTTCGCCAATGTATTCGTCACCGCACATCTTACAGGAGATTAGATAAACTATACCCGAGCTCATGCAATCACCGTCTCTACCATTGGGGTAAATTATGCAATTTTGAGTTGCACGTAGACGATCATGTAGGCGGTTACGAACTAGCTGGCACTTAAGATTACTCGGTGGTATTTCAACTACGCTCACCGAATTCTCTAAGCCCACCCTTCTTAAGCAGCGTTTTATAGC